TTTTTTTTTTTTTTTTTTTTTTTTTTTGGTACCAGGGATCAAACTTGAGTCCTTGTGCTTGCAAGGCAGGCGTAGGAACCACTGCACTAAATCCCTGGCTTTCAGGTAGTGACTTTGATAGCAGTTGTAGTCATAGCATGACAGTGGTGATGCTTCCCTCACTAAAACTTAGCTGGCTGGCATGAGTGTGTTTGTGCTGTGGGGACGAAGCACTACTGGTAGGTAAATGAAATTTTCTCATTTCCCTTTTTTCCTTTTTCCTCAATCTAGGCTTACTTATCTAAAGAATATGAGGAGGCTGGTTTCAGAGCTATATGTTCGAGATAACTGTCACCCTTTCAAAGCCACTGTGTTGATCTGGATTCAACTTCCCATGTGGATCTTTATGTCTGTTGCCCTCCGGAATTTGAGTACAGGGGCCACACATTCAGAAGGTAACTATTGTAGAAGTCATTGTTATACTTCAGGGAAGAAAAAAAACATCATAGTTTTTTTGGTGGGTGGGTATTTTGAGACAGGGTCTCACTATGTAGACCAGGCTGGCCTTGAACTCAAGGTAATCCTCCTGTCAGCCTCCCAAGTGCTGGGATTACAAGTGTGCACCACTGTGCTTGGCTTCATAGTTTCTATAATTGGTATTTTTTTTTCAAGGCATAGAATTTGTGCTCACTTAGGCAGCACATATACTAAAAAAGAGCATAGAATTTAAAATCTTCAATGTAAAAAGATTAGCTATATTGAGAAAAACACCTTGTTTTTTTTAGGGGGGTATCTATATGAACAAAAATAACCTGAATAAAGCCACTGCAGATCTTCAGTGTGAGAGATGCCTTATAGGAATTGCTTATTTATTTATTTTTCTTATACTTGTGCTGTTTTTAGGAATTCTATTGTTTTATTTATAAAACTGTTTCACCAGGTTTTTCTGTTCAGGAACAGTTAGCCACGGGTGGAGTTCTGTGGTTTCCTGATCTCACTGCATTGGATTCTACTTGGATTCTGCCAGTCTCTGTGGGTGTTGTCAATTTATTGATAGTGGAGGTCAGTGGTTTGAAATGAAATTTGTTTTGTTTTGTTTATTTGTGGTACGGGGATCGAACTCAGGACCTTACACTTGCCAGGCAGGCACAGTGCCACTGAGCTACACCCTGACCCTTTGAAATGAAATTTGTTTGTTTTGTTTGGTGCTGGGGATTGAACCCAGGGTGACACATTTGCCAGGCGAACATTACCGCTGAGCTATATCCCTAACCTTGTTGTTGTTGTTGTTGTTGTTGGTATTGCAGTTCTGGCTTCAAATACACATACATTTGATTTGGTGGAGATAGCTTAATTCAGACTCCTTGGATTCTGGTACCCGATCAGCCCTGATCTAGGCCTGTAACGTAAATGCTCTGTGTCTCATAGCTCTCATAATTAAGAAATGAGCACTGACTTCCAAAGAGACTACCACGATTTCTTTTAGCTCTAAAATTACATGATTTTAATACGCACCTCCCCGCATACTGGGGATTGAACCCAGTGCCTTTACACTGAGCTAAATGCCCATCCCTTTTCTAATTTTTGTTTGTTTGTTTGTTTGGGTACTGGGGATTGAATTTAGGACCTTGTGCTAGCAGGTGCTGTGCCATGGAGCTAAATCCCCAGCCCTTTAATGTATTATTTTGAGACAGGATCTGACTAAATTGCTAAATTGCCTGGGTTGGGCTGGAATGTGCAACCCTTCTCAGCCTCCTGGGGTGCCAGCCACCACACCTGGCTAAAACATTTAGTATAATTGCTCTTGGTAAAGACACTCAGAAGCCTGGTTAGCCTTATTCCCATAATAGAGTGGTATTTTGTGATTAGCTTATTATTTTATGAATATTCATACCTCATTGCCATTTTCTTGCTAAGTGACCTTAGAAAAGGTACTGAATGTCTATAAATGGTGTAGAGAAATTCATAAAGTATAATTTCTCAGTCACTGTCTTGCTCAACAGTTTATGAAAACAAACCTGTAATTCCATAAAACAGTGTTCTCAGACTGCATAGAACTTGCACAGACCTGGAAGAAATTTTAGAAATTATTTACCTCAGTTGATAACTCACAGACCTCGTGTCCATCAGTCCTATTTGGAAATGTATTCCTTTTTTTTTTTTTTTTCCTGTGTGTACCATAGTTTTTCGGATGTGGAATGATAACGACAGATCTAAGGTCTCTGATGAAACTGTCTTATGGAAGGACCAGACCTTAATTCTAAATGTGTTTCCCAAGGACACCTGACACAGCCTCTAAATGTGGCTGGTGTTCTGAGCAGGGTCAGGATGAATGGCTGTCAGCACTCATCTTTTCCTCTGCCTTCTCGTGACTGGCGACAGTGTATGATGGGCATTTTTGAAAGCAAGTCGGATGAGTTAACTCATTTTATTCTTAGAATAACCCTGTGAGATGCAGGAATATAGGAAGGGTTTTACCCCATTTTAAGGAGGGGGAGAGTGTGGCACAGAAAGGTTGAACTTGCAGGAGGTCATACAGCCACTAACAGTGTAGGATGCCTTCTCACCTTAGGTAGCTCGGCTCTGGAGTTGTGATCTAAACATTTGATTCAGGAATCACATGCTTTCCCTTTACTCTGTGCAGCCACATTGCGATTTTTTTTTTCTTCTGGGATTAGTAGTACATGCCTATAATCCCTGCACTTGGCAGGCTGAGGCAGGAGGATCACTTAAGTTTGAGGCTAGCCTGGGCTACATAATGAGACAGAGTCTTGTCATGGAATTCAGTTTGTGTTGAACCTGCTGGTTAGCCCAGCCTGGCCTTGAATCAGGGCAGTCCTTCTTTAGCCTCTCGAGTGCTAGGATTATAGGTGTGTGCTTCAATGCCTGGTTTAAGTTTTATTTAAAGAAGAATAAAATGGCTCACATAAATTCACCAGTATTTTATTTATTATTTGTCTATTTTATTGCCATGCTGGGAATTGATCTTAGGGCCTTGTGCATGCTAGCTGACTGCTGTACCACAGCTCAGCCTTATTTACTTATTTTTACTTTTATTAAAGCATAGATGTGGACCGTCTAAAAAATGTCACCTTGTATCTTAAAGCTTGTATAACTTAACGTGAATTTTAATGATCATTGTGTGTGTGTATATTGTATCCCTACAGATTTTTGCTCTACAGAGACGTGGAATGTCCCATTTTCAAAGGTGCATCACATACTTTGTCCGTGCTGTGTCAGTACTGATGATTCCCATTGCTGCAACTGTTCCTTCAGTGAGTAAACACTGTGTGGTCAGTAGCATATGCTCTGTCCTTGGCTGTTAGCTTAGAGTGCCTGTTTCATTGAGCTTCCTCTGATGCTGGATCCTTTACTCATTTCAAAATTCTGGGAAAACATCTGTCTCTATCACCAAGTGATGCTTAATCTTGCAAAATACCTTACACAATAATACTATGTAGTATTTGCCATATTTGATTGATACATTGATTGACCTTTTTCTTCCTTTGTAACCTGGACCAAACAATTTAGCACTGAAAAAAGAAACAAAGCTTTGTGTTAGCCCATATGAGTATATATGGTTTAATCTTATAACTGTGCTGTGAGAAAGGTACAGTTGTCCTTGTTTATACCTAATTCAAATTTGGGCAAAACTAGAGGACAGAAAGGTTCTGTTTGTAGTTAATGCATTTTGTTACATATTTGTTAGACATTATCATGAAGGGAGGGGTTGTTTCAGGTACATCTCCATCTTTATTCAAAGCCAACAACACACATAAACCATTAAGTAGAATTTAGTTGTTACCAGATATGGCACTTGCCTGTGATCCCAGCCCTCAGGAGGCTGAGGCAGGATAATTGCCTCAAGTTTGAAGCCAGCCTTGATTACACAGTGAGTTCAAGGCCAGCCTGAACTACATAGTGACACCCTGTCTCAAAAAAAAAAGGTTGTTGCTAGTAGTTTGGGTTGTACCAGCAAATATAAAAATAATTCAAAAAGGCTTGCTTTATGAATCTGGTGTAGTGTGTTGTGAGCATTTAGCTGTCATTTGTACATAATGGTTTTTTGGTTTTTGTTTTCATTTTAAAGAGCATTCAAGATATCTACTTTTCAAAACATTATTGGCACATTTTAGATATACATATTAATAACATTCATCATAGGAAATTCGTTCTTTTTTCGGGGGGTGGTTACTGGGGATTGAACTCGGGCCCTTGCGCTTGCAAGGCAGGCGGCAAAGCCTCTGAGCTAAATCCCCCACCCAGCAATTTGTTCTTGTATGTGATATATCTTGCTTCTTTTTTTCCGATTCCCCTTCTGTCCCTTTGACTCCTCCCCCTCCTTATTTACAAAAGCTTTATTTCTGTTATTTTTTCTTCTATTTTCTTATCCCTTCTTTCCTTTCTCCCTCCCTGCTCCCTTGTTCCCCTTAATCATTTTAACATTTTCCTCCCATTTCCCAACAGCTATTACACATTTTGGTCCTCATTTCCACTTTCAGTTTGTCACACCAGAGAAAGAATACAATATTTAAACATGTGTGTAGGATTATTTCACTTCCCCGTAGGCTCTCAAAATGCATCCATTTAGCTGTCAGTGTCTCAGGCTCATCCTTCCTTATGGCATAGTAGTACTTTATGGTATAAAAAAACTCACGTAGCCAGGGGTTTAGCTCAGTGGTTCTGCCACCTGCATTGCAAATGCAAGGACCTGCGTTCGATCCCCGGTACCAAAAAACAAACAAACAAAAAAAACTCAGGTCATCTTTATCCATTCTCTGGTTGATGGACATTTGGGCTGTTTCCAAGATTTAGCTATTATAAATTGTACCACTATAAACATAAGTGTGCATAGATCACTGTAGTATGATGCTTCAATTCTTTCAGGAAGATACTAAGAAGGGGAATAGCTGGGTCAAATGGAACTGCTAGTTTTGTTTTTTGAGGAATCTCCGCACTGATTTCCACAGTGGTTGTACCAGTCCACACTCCAACCAACAGTGGAATAGGGTTCTTTATTCCAAATAGCACGTCCAGCATTTGTTATTGGTAGATTACTTGATAATAGCTGTCCTTTCTGTAGTGAGATGCATTCTCACCATTTTAATTTGTATCTCTTGAATGACCAGTGATGGTGAACATTTTTTCATATAGTTGCCTCTCTGCTTCTTCATCTGAGAAGTGTCTGTTCATTTTAGTTGCCCATTTTTGGATTGGGTCTTTCAATTTGGGTGGTCTGATTTTTTTCTATGTTCTTTATATTTTCTGAATATTAGTCCTTGCGGGAAGAGCTGACAAAATTTTTTTCCACACTGGGTTGTCTCTTCACTCTGTTGTGGTTTCTCTTGTTGTGCAAAAGCTTTTTAATAAGAGATCTGAGGTTGATTCTTTATGATAGTTCCTGTGTGATCAGGGTTTTGTTCATAAAGTCTTTGCCTAAACCATTGTCTTTGAGAGTTGTACCTGTTCTGTCTTCCAGCTGATTTAGTGTTTCTGTTTTAATATTTAAATCTTTGGTCCATTTTGATTTTAGTTTAGTGCGTGGTGAAAGATAGTCTAGTTTTAATCACTTGTCTTGTGGAAAGCTAGTTTTTACTTTTTCCAGCAGTACTTATGAAAGAGGTTTTGTTCTATTGAAAATGTTTGACTCCTTTGACAAAGATAAGGTGGGTGAGTATATCTGGAGTTGTTTCTGCATCTTCGAATCTGTTCCATTGATCCTTGGGTCTTTTTTTGCCAGTGTTGTGCTGTTTTTAATCACAGTATCTTTGTAGTATAATTTCAAGACAGGGACTGTGATGCTCCCTGCTTTGCCCTTGTTGGTCAGAATTGCCTTTGCTATTCTAGGTCTCTTCTGGTTCCAAGTGAAATTTAGGATTGTTTTCTCTAATTCTGTGAGATACGCTGTTAGAATTTTGATCTGTAGAACGATGTTGGAAATATGGCCATTTTAACTATATTGGTTCTTCCATCTTTCCATTTTGTGATAATCTCTTTGATCTCCTTTTTCAGAGTACTGTAGTTTTCTATACAGAGTTTTTTTTTTTTTTACTTCCTTCATTAGATTGATTCCTAGATATTTCATTTGTGGGGGATGCTGCTGTGAAAGGTGTTATTTTCCTAATTTCTCTGTCAGTGAGTTTTACTTGAGAACAGAATGGCTGTTGATTTTTTTGAGTGTTGAGTTTGTATCCAGCTATGCTTCTGAATTTGGTATTAAATCTACAAGTCTTTTGGTAGAGTTTTTGGGATCTTCTATGTCATCCTCAAATAATGATAATTTATCTTCCTTTCCCGTCATTCCTTTTATTTTTCTCTTATCTAATTGCTCTGGCTAATGTTTCCAGAACTATACTGAATAAGAGTGGTGACAGTGGACATCCTTGTATTTTTCCTGATTTTAGAGTGAAAACTTTCAGTTTTTGTCCATTTAGTATGATATTGGCTGTTGTGAGGCAGGTGGCAGAACCACTGAGCCAAATCCCTGGCCTTTGACTGTTGGTTTGTGATAAATAGCTTTTATCTGATTGAGGTAAAGATTGTCTATACCAATTTTCTCTTTTTTTTATCATGAAAGGGTATTAGACTTTGTCAGATGATTTTTCTGCATCAATTGAGATGACCATTTTGTTTCTGTCCATGGCTCTGTTAATATAGTGTATTACATTTATTAATTTATACATGTGGTGGAACCATTCTGGAATCCCTGGGATGAATCCAACTTGGTCATGCTGTATGACCTTCTTGATGATTTGCTGCATTGTTTGCCAGTATCTTATTGAGGAATTTTGCATTTAGGTTCATTACAGAGATTGGCCCTATAGTTCTCTTTTTTGGTTGGATCCTTTCCTGGTTTTTAGAGTCAGGGTGATGCTTGCCTCCAGGAATGAATTTGGGAGTACTGCTTCCGTTTCAATTTCATTAAAGAGTTTGAAGAGTGTAGGCTTTAGGTGTTGGCTGACTTTTTTTTTATAGAATTCAACAATGATTCCATCAAGGCTTGGGCTTTTCTTTGTTGGTAGGTTTTTAATTACATCTTCAATTTCATTGGCTGGCATTGGTGTATTTAAAATTGTTATATCTCCTTGATTCAGCTTTGGTAATTCATATGTATCCAAGAATCTGTCCATTTCTTCTGTGTTTTCCATCTTATTAGAATAGTTTCTTGAAATAGGTATTATCTTCTGGATTTCTGCAGGACTTATAATGATTTCATTCTTTTTATGCCCAATTGCATAGATATGAGTCTTTCTTTCCTTTTTTTTTTTTTTTTTTTTTTTTTTTTT